ATAGTAGCGTGGTGTGCTTGCTTCACTTGTATCTTCAGTTGTGGACTGTCCAAGGAGTCTACAAACTGATCCTTCAGCAACAACTTGAGGACATCGACTTCCACAGTTGGGTAGGCCTTGTGTGCCATACTTTCCAAATCCTGTGCCAGCTCTTGCAGACTCTTTCCTTTAGCATGGACTCTAGTCCTAAACCTAGTTCTGTAGACTTTGGACTGATTTTGAGTTCCATACCTGATTTCTAAAGCAGTGCTCTATAGTTATGCCTTATGTCTGCTGACAACTGTCCAAGTATTTCCAGTGGTTGTTCCTTCAGGCTCGTTGCTTTCTGCTCCTCTTTTCATCTATTCATTTCTGCCACGAGCTTAAATTGTGGTCTATATGCTTCCCACGGTACCTTCCCATCGAATTCCTGTGGCTTTCTTCGTACTAGATCACCCCTATTGCTGACATTCAAGTCTGGGATGTGACTTCTGACAGGACTGAAGATGTCTGCATTAGGGTTTAGCTGCGGGGTCTGGAAGGGGCTTCCCGTTGTCTGGGGCTAATTAGGTCGATGGCTAATATATTTTCCTTGTGTAAAAGACAGTAAATCATACTTTAATGTTTTTAATTCACTTTGAAATTTACTAATCTTTTCCTTTTGCGTATGCTGGCTTTCTCTCAACTGTTGGAGACTTTCTTCTTGTTTATTTTCTTTCTCCTCCAACCACTGCTGTAGTCTTTCTTCTTATTTCGTTTTTTCTCCTCCAACCACTGCTGTAGTCTTTCTTCTTATTTCATTTCTTTCTCCTCCAACCACTGCTGTAGTCTCTCTTCTTGTTTATTTTCTTTCTCCACCAACCACTGCTGTAGTCTCTCTTTCTTGTTTCTTTTCTTTCTCCTCCAACCACTACTGTAGTCTCTCTTCTTATTTATTTTCTTTCTCCACCAACCACTGCCGTAGTCTCTCTTTCTTATTTCATTTCTTTCTCAACCAACCACTGCCGTAGTCTCTCTTCTTATTTATTTTCTTTCTCCACCAACCACTGCCGTAGTCTCTCTTTCTTGTTTCTTTTCTTTCTCCTCCAACCACTACTGTAGTCTCTCTTCTTGTTCATTTTCTTTCTCCTCCAACAGCTGCCGTAGTCTCTCTTTCTTGTTTCTTTTCTTTCTCCTCCAACCACTACTGTAGTCTCTCTTCTTATTTATTTTCTTTCTCCACCAACCACTGCCGTAGTCTCTCTTTCTTGTTTCTTTTCTTTCTCCTCCAACCACTGCCGTAGTCTCTCTTCTTGTTCATTTTCTTTCTTCTC